TGCTAGCTTTTCTGATGGGTATCAGTTTGGCTCTTTTGTAAACAGAAGATGGAAAACAATACCAAGAAAGGTACACAATGCCAGACTGCTATAAATGTAACATCATTTATATTTATATATATATACATATATATATATAAAACACAAACATGATACATATTTATGTATCTGAACAAACATACACCTATATGTACAAGACTGCAGTATTTCTAAATAAAACTGTTTTGTTTTTGTGATTGTTTGTTTTATAGAAAAAACAAACAATTGTGAATTGAAGAAATGCCAACAGGGCTTTTTTTTTTTTTAACAATAACTGAAATAAAATTTTAATCTAAAAACACTAGAAGGGTCAAAATTCTCTCAACAATTTATTTTCAAAACACTACCCATCTTACTCATTGTTACTGGTACTCACTGTTAACAAAGATAAGGGTTGACAAACAATGGTACTGTGGAATATAGTGTTTACCGCTGTGATGAAATATGACAAAATGCAGTACTAATTAAGCCAAGACAGAAAATACTGAATATGCAAAAATATATTAGCTAAAATTTCACACAGTTAAGAGTATGACTGCTGGATATTTTGGAGAGAGAAAAGGTTGGCAAATAATCCAGAAAACAAAACAGAAGTTCTATCTACATTGAAGGTAGAAATGAAAACTAAAATTGGATTAGTTAACCTGTACAGCACTGGAACTACTTGAATTGTTTCTGCATACAGGTAAAAGACAATATCTTAATTATACAAGAAAGCCATCTACACATCTAAAATGGAATGAAACAGAACAGGGAGAGTTTAAGAAGCGCTGTAGAAAATAAATGCTGAAGGTTTAAAGAGGCATCATCATGATTCTTTTCATAGGAATGCAGAACACCTTAACAAGTTGCTTCCTTTGCGAATGCTTTTGTTTTCCTGTACGCCTTGTCTAAGACTAGACTAAAGCAGTATGTTCAAGAGATGACAGCGCAGTGTAGTCCTGGACTTGGATAACCTTGGATAACAACTCTACTAAAATCAAGAAAAAACAGGGAGAATACATGCATAACTAAATAATTTATGCTAGTGGAAGAGACATTTATGTGATTATTGTAGACAAATAATCAACTAGGGAGGAGGAAAGGTGGAGGAAAGGCGGAGGAAAGGTTCAATAATGGTACTGTGAGAAAGCTTTGCTTCAGGGTTTTCAAAAATTAAACTGACAAAAAAAGCCACTGTAGTTTGACAATAAGGCATCTATCAACAAGTTTTAAATGTTTTACATGATCCCTTTTTGTCATGACTTGCATCTAAAAAGTTAGTTTGTTTCTAACAACTCTGGTAGCTTGCACCTTGTACTTTTCTGAAGTTTGTTCAATTAATAATGTATAAATGTTATCCAAAAATGGGTCAACAAAAAATGTTATTCCCATATGGTAGGATACTGCTTAGAGAAACATCAAAATAGAATTAAAATACTGATCCAGTTCAGCTACATTTAAAATCTTAAGCGTTGCAACAAAGGAAGATTATCCTTTGCATGGAAATTTAAAATTAAATACAGCAAATACTTGGGCAATGAAGTCATTGAACTAAGGACAGCTGTTCAATTGCTTTAGGCAAAGTGAGACAGTAACACAGCAAAATGACATGATCCAGAAAAAAAATATTTCAGTGTGAACAACACTGTATTTAAAGTTGATTTTTGAAATTAAAACTGCAATTAAAAACAAACAAAAAAAACTGATAACCACAGAACCCGTACTTACGTGTACAACAGGTTGTTATAACTGTTTCAATACTTCAAAAAATTGTCCAAAAAAAAAAATCATCAAAAAACAAATGCAATTAGCAAAGCCAAGACAGATCAAGACCAAAAGACATACAAAAAAGGCCTAACATAGAAGACTATTTCATGTAAAGTTTGTAATGACATTAACACTGTCTTATTGAAAAGAATACATGTAAACTGATGAAATCCAAGCTGTTTGAAGATCACTGTACTTATGAAGACATTTGAAAACAATGAAAGTAAATGGAGGAATGCTATTCCTATAACCACAGATACGAAAACTAAAAACAAGGTTATTTGCTGATTTGTATCAATCTACTACAACGAATTACATTAGGAAAACCAAAGGGGTTACCGGTCATGCATGAAAGCAGCCTACTTCTCCTTGTTGTGCAATACAAACAGCTTCCGTTGGCCTTACTATCAAAGATGAGTGAGAGGTTTTGGATACACAGTTATTTTCCTTTAAACATTTTCTTTTTAAATATGATTTGAAATATCAGCTAACAACAGGGGCATAAGTTTTTGTATGTACTGTGTGGCAAAGATGAGGTCAAGAGTGAAACGAGTTCTCTACATAACATTTGTATTAGCAAAAACATTGGTGAGTTTCTATTATAAGACTATCAGATGAATAAAAGTACGGAAATTATTGTCGTGAACCTGTTAGGTCAGCTTTTGCTATCACTTACTTTTAAAGTCAATGAAGAGTACTGGAACTCAAATTACAATGCATCTGATTTTAGGGACTGTGAACTTCTATAATTGCAACTGATGTCAGTGGAGTCCAAGGATTATTCAGCAACAGAAAAAAATCCCACTTCATTCATAAACAAGATTCATCTCTGTTAAGCACAGACTTTTGTCAAAAAAAAAAAAAAAAAAAAACTAAAACTTACAGCTCAGTAGTGATAAGAAATCAATAGTGACTGACAGCACAGAAGTCTTCATATTCCAAATAACAGATTATTCTGAAAATGCATGGCAAGCCTAAATGAAAATATTTTGACCATGAAAAGCCACCATGCAAAGACACAAATCATTTTATGTCATTATCCATGATGTTTTGTGATTAGGTCCAACCTGGCTAACAGAATTGTAAAATAAAACATTAATCCTCTTGCAAATAATATGTAAGAAAATACTGACTTTTCAGTCTATATTTTAAATTAGAACACTGAAAATTGACACAAAAACATGAGACTATTGGCTAAAACCTGGATATAACATTTACATTTTCCATTCCACAAGCTAAGTGAACGCTCAGAAATATGTATCTACAGAACTTCTGTACTGTTAAAGTTTTTCTCTCATAAAATGGTAACCAAGAGGTCCTCTTCTCATTAAGAGGAGAAAGCATGTATTGGCACTATGTTAGAAATTGTTACATTTTTCTGTTTATGTCAGGTTTGAATAATGTTTAGCATAAGGGGATATACTAGAAATAGGATTTCTCCCCCTTCCTCTACTATCTACTGTGATTTTTTAAAGTAACGTTGATTTTACTAGAAGCTGTATTAAAAACTTACAGAAAAGAAGTAGTCTTGCTGCTTTGACAGAAACACTATAGCAATTTCATAACACAAACCAAAAATGTGTGACATCTTTCTTAACCCAAGGAGCTAAACTTTAGAAAGTGAATGTAAGTGCTTAGCTCTTACTGTATGAAGTTCATGCCTATAAAGACTTTCAAACAAGAGAGGAAAGAAGAAAAAAATACAATCCTTTCAGAACCTGCAGTAATTTCTAGAATTTACTCAGCAGTTTAAGAAATGGAGAAATAGTCCTGAAATGATATCACCTTTCAGTTTATTATATTGTGTTGTACCTTGACAATTATTCATTTCTAAAAGGCTCAGACAAGTTCCATTATGGATTTCAGATTATGTACATGTTTTAAATATTTTTCTCAGCACATTTCAGAATAATGCCTAGTCACAACTAGATTTCAAGTACTGCACTCACAGAATTCTGTTGCTTTGACATTGCCTGTGACAGTGTACGTGACTAAAGCTGAGAGAGAAACACCTAGGCAAAAACACTTTCATTTTCACACTCCCTTCAACACCATTACTGTACAACTGTATTTGGTGTATCTGTGAAGTACAAATGTCTAAGTCCCATTGATGTATTAGTCGCTTAGCTCCCTTGTCTACTCATCTATAAAAGCTCAAGAAATTGCAAGACAAAATGAAATAGAAGTCAAAAAAAAAAAAAAAAAAGAGACAGTATATACTGGCACCACCTGTAGGCCTACTCCTAACAGTGTATGACCTCCATGGATGCATCAGGCTTATCTGTCAAACAAATGCCTCATAGAAAAATAGGTTGCTAGCAGGCCTTTTTTCTCCTTTCCTTTACTGCTGCATAGATTAGCACTGATATATAAAGAGATGGAGCAGTACTATTTCTACCACCTGAGAGGATACTGTGATAAACAAATTAGTTTTTAAGGAAAATCCAGAGCTTCTGAATATAAAAGCTATTGTCATATGCCATTCAAATCCCATGTGATGCTCTGCTTCACCTGATTCCTGTTCTGTTGAGAGTATATCTAAGTTCTACTCCTGCGCACATCTGCAAAGACTACAATTATGCTTCAGTCCACCCCATGAGCCAAGTTCAGCATCATATTTTGAAATATATTTGAAAATAAAATATTAAAATATATATATAAAAACAAAGAAAAGAAAAGAAAAAAAAAAAACAAGAACAAATAAGAAGGTCCAAAATACGACTCTAACAGAATGTAAGGAATGCATCACCCTTAGTTCATCCTCTGACAATCTTTAATTTTGTGCCAACTGAAAAACAAGATTTTTTTTTTCACTGAGTGGATGGAATGACACTATGCAATCTTGCCAAGGAAAAAAGATAATCCCACATCATAGCATGTAATTAAAACCACATGGTTCCCATAGGAACAGATCAGACAAACAGATAGTTTGGTGATGGGCACAGGGAAAGAATATGAACAAAACTGGGTAACTCAATGCTTAATAAATGTTATCTTGGTTATAAGGGAAAGGTTTACAGAACTTTTAAATACTATGAAGGTATGATGACAAGAGTTGACTTATAGAAAAATTAACTTATGAGTTTTGTATGTTTTTTCAGTTTGTTTTTTTTTTAAACAAATTCCTGATGTTTATGATACACAATCAATTACAGACATTTTAAAAATGATTTTACTAAAGAATCAATTTTGTTTTGTTTGTTTTTCTACAGATCCTTCTTCCTTCGTACTGCTGTGGAAAGGACATTTATTCTACAAAATTAGTTCACAGAACAGTATTCTGCATAGGACTTATTCTATGCAGGCAGTATCTCTTCACCACGTGTCAAATTTAACTGTGCTCCCACTCTACAAGTCCAAGACTTTTAGATACTGTGCTTTCTGCAACAATCATAATTGCTTAAATGAATCTGTGCTGAATACGTTAATATTTGTAGATTGGAAGGAAATGTTCCAAGTTCATTCTTTCTGAAAGGTGTTCAGAGAAGGTTAGTGATGGTGGGGAGGGGCAATGGAGACCACAGGACTGGAAGAGAAGAAAATATAGGATAAGTCCAGGAAAATTTGGCTGCCGTTTATATTTCAATTCTCTAATTAAGTCACTCTGTTAATATAATTAAATTATTCTCTTTGAGATTTCTTTAGATTACCATATATTTTCATCAAGAGAGCAGTACAACATTGCTGGAAACAAATGCTGCTTTAATAAGCTAAAATCTATCACACACAAATTAAAAATACAGGTATGCTTTGAATATTCTACTCATTGCTTTATCTGTATTCATAAAAGATCAGTAAAGGCAGAAAAATACACACAAGTCTGCAGCTCATAAATTTTGGGGATTCTTTCCTGATAGCATATCTTTGCCTGACAGAAGGGGAGAAATATCTTTGTGAAAATGGGTTATCCACCTACATAATTCTGGCAGAAAGACTGAGCAGTACAGCAAGCCCATCTCAGGAAATGTGAACATTAGTATGCTTTTTAGATATTCAAATCCTCCTGGATTTATGAACTCATCCTTATTAGTCTGTTTGAAGCTTATTCAGCTCGTTTTCCTTCTGCCATGGTTTTCTGATCACTTCTGCTGAGAGGATAACAAAAGCTGCTTCTGACAACACTGGCCACTCTAATCTGAGATGAGCCGAAGCTGCCAGCTAGTACTGGTGTAGAGAAGCAACAGTGTGCACTGGAACTAGCAGCTTAATTTTTCAATGCTGCTATCTGTGGTACTTATAAAAAGATGAGCAGGAAGACAGAAAGTACAGTTCTGCAGCACAAACTGAGCAGAAAGATTGGACAGAGATATAGTGTCTATTTTGTTCTCATTTTACTACTTTTACTTCAAGCCTTGAAAGTTAGGAGCTGAGCTATAAAATAAAGACTGATACAAGTTTTGTAAATGGTCCCACAAGCAAGCTCCACACAGCCTAGTCTCCTGATGACTAGCAAGGCCTCATCAAGCCATTTCTCAGTCTGATGGTGAGCCCATGTTCATTCTAGCCAACTTCAGACAAGCTGACAAAACAGCTCACCAGCTCAGGAACTCAGTGAGCCTGAGTTCCCAGCAGCCTCCAATCAGTTCCAGACAATCTGACATACTGCTATAAGAGTAGTCACCCTGGAGGTGTTTAAGTGAAGATTGGACCTGGTGCTTAGGGACATGGTTTAGTGGGCAACATTGGTAGTAGAGGGACAGTTGGACCAGATAATATTGGAGGTCTTTTCCAACCTAAATAATTCTATAGTCTATAAAGAATTGCCCTACACTTTCTCAGAACAGACCTGAACCATCAAGAGATCTTTGAGAACAGAACCCAAAATACCCCTCAAAAAGTGAACTCAGACAGCCTTCAAGCCATAGAAAACTGTACTGGGTCAGAGACAAGTAAGGCCACAGCTGCAGTATTGACTGCAACCAAACAGAAAACACCTGGGACTCCAGTTAACAGAGAATTTCAACATCTGTTTTCATCAAGGATATTAACCATACCCCTAAATACTCTGAAAAACACTAGGTAAAACAACTAATATTAACAAGAACTAAGGTTGTAGAATTAGTAGTCCTTCTCTTAGCAGGCTAGTTGGAGAAAAAAAAAAAAAAAAAAAAAAAAAGAATAAAAAGCCCAAAAGCCCAAGCTATGACGATTTTCATCTCTTCCCATTCAGGTTTCGAGACCAGACGTCACTTTCATTACATCATTCTACAACCATTTTTTTTATTAGGCAGTAATGTATGACTGAAATTTACCTCCCCATTCAAGAAGCTGGACTCAAACGGGTGAATTTTACTTCAAAGACATAATAACATACACAAACCTTCAGTACTAAGGAGGTTTAATTTAAAGTTTCTTCAATTTCTTTATAGACAAACATATAAAACTCTATCATGCAATCAAATTATTTCTTCTAAATGCTGAGAAAGCAGAAGTTAGAGATCATTAGCTTTTATAACATCTACAGCTTAGTTTTTGATAATGACAAGAATATAGGGCACAGAATTTCCATTATTTCTTTTTGTTCTAAGGATAAGATCTTCTGAATTAGCTAGGTATTTGGTATGTTTGATCAGTACTCAAATAGCCCAGGAGAAATTTAAGAAGTAGAAAAAAGTGTTTAACACTAAAGAGAATAATTTTTTTTTTTTTTCCAAAAAATTCTGTAAGAATCTTTCAGATTTTGTAAATTATATGCAATATGGGCCTAGCAAAATCCAAGGGATATAATCTAGCTGGAAATACTTTTATTCTAGTAATTTTTAACAATAAGAACTAGATCTGGAATTAAATTCAAGTATCACTTACGTTTCTAAGAGAAGAATCTTTATCAGTAGTGGTTTTTACCCATATATTCCAATAGCTAAAGGTACTTGCCTGAAGTGAATATTCTAAATCTTTAAATGATACATATGTTGGAAGCACATCCTGTGAAGTCGTCAACAACCTGGAGGCAATGGGATTATAAGGACCAGTCATCCCTGGTTAAATCATCCTACCTTACATTCTTCATGAAATTTAAACATCCCATTTAGATATTTTTTTTTCATCCAACCTTAGAACCTAGGACCTGCACTCCAAAAGAGCATTTCTTTTTTGCCAGTTTTGTACATGACCTCCAAGTTCCCCATCCTTGCCCTATCCTCAAATGATCAGGAAGTTGTTTTAGAATGCTGAATTGCTTCACCATTCAATAATGTTTCTTTTTCTATTTTTTTTTTTTATGCAGCTGAAGCTAATTTGACCCAATTTTGCAAATACTGATAGCAGTTAGAAGCTGGACTTTTAGGTGAACATATGCCTTCTCAAAGCAAATATTACCCAGCTCTGCATAAAATACTAGTTTCAAAATGTGAACTCTCTTCCATGGCACACCAAGCACCAATATGATATGCACAGCCCATTAGACAGTCACCTGACATTACTCCCAGTTCAGGGCATACATGCTGTTTGAGGTCCAATATAATTTATTCTCACTTCTGGTAAATGTCATCCATAATTGAAATTGAGACCACCTGGCTTTTTTTTTTTTTTATGCAGAATGAACTACAACAGGTAATTTCTTACACCTGTTCAGAGGGACTTGGCCAGATCCCTCTCAGTCTAGAACGAGAAGCTTTTTAAATGTGTAATACAGTTAGCTTTCAAAGTGACCAGAATAAAGATTTTTCTCTATAAATCAACTAGAGGAAAAAAATAAATAAATGGGAAATTAACATTACATTTGCAAATTCAGCTATGATTGACATTCAAAGTATTTAAACTGAGAGGTGAAAGACAACTAGAATAAGAGTGCTTGTAGGTTTTCCCCATTTTCCTTAGAATTGCAACCACTGTTCAGAGTAGTCCTGTTTAAGTGAGCTTCAGGAAGAACTTTGTTCATTTATGAGATGCATGCATTTCTTCGTGCTGAAATGACCTCATGTCACTATTGTGTATTTAGTGATAAGAAGGTCTCATTCCAGCAGTAATGCCATGTGGAATGCATTACTCAAAAGCCTATTAAGTATAAAACATTCAGCATTTATTTACCACATTCAGAGAATGGAGTCCTTAAAAGGTTATTTAGACTATAGCGCAGAGACTAAAATATATCTAGCATCCCATTGATTTGACAGTCTGCCATAACTGTCTCGTATAGTCCTAATTAGAACACAATACACAAACACACACACACACACACACACACAACCTTCTGGGAAAACATTACCAATTACAAAAAGCCACAACAAAAATTGCTTTTGACAAAATGCTTTTGACAGCCATTACACACATATTGTTATAATTCTGTGGGATACCTACTGTAAATGGAAGGTATGCATCTTCCTCAATCTATGAAAGGTAATGTTAGATTGAATAAAAATCAGCATCTTAGGCCCAGCCACCTATGTGACATATTGCTGACTTCAGCTTTTGCTGAACTTTTCATCTTGAAAAGAGGGGGAGGAAGATTGCTTGCCATTTGTCTTTACCAACAGAACCCATACATCTATTCAAATCAGAAACAGCTCTTGGTGGGACGAGAAAGAAAACGGCTTTCATGACTTCATCGCCATTGAAAATATAACAGCTCCACCTTGAGGCAGAAACCAGTCAAGTACAAGGTGCAGAAAAGAAGTATTCGAGAGCAAAGACACAACCTAAACATAAGGCAACATCTTCCAAATGTCCATTCTTATTTTCTTAGCATAAGAGCATCCCCCATGTGCATGTTTTAGGACAAATTTAATGCCACAATTAAATTTATATCAATTAAACACAAAGTTTAAAGAACAGCTCCCAAGGATAATATAATTCAAATAAAACACGGCCTGACAGAACTACTCCTTCAGGAGTGGTAAGTACTCAAGTTTCTCTTTTATTAGAGTACACAAGAAACATTCAGACCATTAATTTCAGTATTTCATTCTTCCTAAATGAACAGTAAAAAAATTAAAACATTTCAATATTTTAATTTGAATCAATATTCAAATATTGAGTTAATTTTCAATATGTGGAAAAGCATTGCCAGTAAGTAAGTTGTTCATCAAGGATTACTGAAATTGTTTAGTTTTAAAGTGGTTATTTTAAAAACTTCAATGCAAAATATCAAAAATATCAAATTCTTCAGCCTACTTTCAGCAGTTTTATTTTTAAATAACAATGTATCATCATTCAGAACCTTTCTAGTTAATCCAAATTACACGAGTAAGTCAAGGTAGACATAACAGAACCTCCATCACGTTTAACTGGATGATCATTATGATATTGAGATAGATTTATTATAACACTAGTGAGATTTGGTTGAAGAGTAGTAATAACTGGAAACAGCATTTGTTGGAAATTGGAAAGCAGAATGAGCTATACAT